TTATTGTCCTCTCTCCTTAATAGTAGTTTTTCTCATATTCTCTAACACTCAGTAACCCCCTTGCGTCCTAGTGGCTTTATTGCCTTTGATGTTCAAAAATTTAAATGCAATGTCAATCGTTATCTTCTGTCTTCTTAATTTATGCTCTTTTATTGTCCTCTCTCCTTAATTTTTTAAAATTATATTCTTTTACAATTTCGGCACTTCAATATGTTGCGATGCTTAGCAGTCTTGTCTTGCTAGATCAATTACGACAGACTAGTGAGTTTTATCCTCACTGGGTGCTCCACACTTTCGGCCTTGTGCCACATCTAAGCTACGTTTTGGAAAACACCATATTCTCTCGCACTCTGTAACCCCCTTTGGGTCTTAGTGACTTTATTGCCTTACTTGGAGTGAAATTTTTAAAAGCTTTTCTTAAAGAAGATGCCGAATTAGTTGCATACTGTCTTTCCGCTGCTTATATAGCAAAGCTCTCTGTTTTTCAAATGGCCAAAACACCAGAGATTTTACAAGCATATCAATATAATGCGTGCCGTAAGCATAATACATGATCTTAGCCAAGCTCAAGTAAAAAGAAAATATTAATTTTTATTCAATTCATTTAGTTTCGATCAGGGTCGATTTATACAGCTTTTTGATAAGTTTAGATTTTATATTGTTTATAATAACGTTTCAAACAGTTAAAACGTGAACAATACTTCGACATAGTTAAATATATTCATAATTACTGAATTCACTTAATTGTAGGAACAATGAATGCTACGTTTTTTAATACATTGTCTGTTCAGGGCGTAATGGATCATGGCTCTCCACACATCCCTTTTCTTTATTACTTGTGAATTGCCTTAAATTCTTGAGGAAGACAGTCCTTTCACTTGCCTTTTTATAGTTACGAGTTGTCCTTCTAGACTGGCTGCCGACCAAGGCTATATAGACAAAACGAAATGAATATACTGTTTAATAAATAAACGGGGCGTCTACTCCAATATGGGTATCTACTAAAAATAACGTTTAAAGTGATAGAAATATATAATCATTTTCTAAAATGTTTATTTTTTTTCTCTTTCTTTGTTTCCACAGATGACATCAATCAATTGTTTACCAACAAGAACTCGTAAGTTTTTTTTTTTTATTATTATTTAGTTCTGAAAACAAACTTTTTTGGTCAAATATACATTAAACAGAATTCTTCTAAGCTGAAAATCAAAGATATTAAATTGTCACACTCATTAATAATGCTCAAATCAGAATATGAACAAAACTTCCGAGTAACGCAATTTATAAAGTTAACCAGACAAATTGTCAATTTATAAATTCGCTACAAAAAAAAAATTCCTAAATTAAGCTAAATTATAGAGTTCGGAATCATATCTTATCTGAAAAATTTCCACGCATTTTCAATATAATATATATTACTATAAAAGTTCATAATTATATATATATATATTAGTAATAGTAGTAATAATCTTATAAGTATAAGAAATTATAATCGTTCGGAAAACCTTCGGTGTCTTGATTTGTAAATAATGAAACCAATACAAAAGGGGAAAAAAGGTATAAAAAAGAAAGAACAAAGAACATTTACGTTAGCCGAAAATAATCGTCTAGCATCCAAGTCCAAAGTCTAAAGAAAAAAACCCCGATTAGAGTAAGCAAAATAAGTAAATAAAGTGCTTAATACGGTAAGTAGAGCAGATCTAGTTAAACGTAGAGAGCCAGACAAACCTACCAAGGTTTCACCTAATCGGATCGTCAGGGAAGGCCGACTCTAATTAACTATATATATATATATATATATATATATATATATATATATATATATATATATATATTGTTATACGTTGTTTATATATACACAAATATTTAAGTAGATGCTCTGTTTATAATAAACAGTATTAACAGCATTTACCGGCCTGAATGTCCGAGACATTTTCATAGAAAATATATATCCTCCGCATATTAAAATAATTGTCGGACTTTGTCCAATTCGTCGTGTGTAACGTCATTTGTTTATGTCAAAATACGTTCCGAGCAGATATGGACGTTCGAGAGAAATCCTGGGAAATTTGTAGTTTAAAAGCAGTAAAATTGAGCTTGCTAAACAGATGCTCCTTCGCAGCTAAACTGGTATAGCAAGTCAGGCTATATGACACATATTTTCTATGAAATTTCTCGGATATGCAAGCCGGTAAATATTGTTTATTATAAACAGAGCATTTACTTAAATATTTGTGTATATATAAATAATGTATAACAATAAAATGTATTAAAATAATTGTCGGACTTTGTCCAATTCGTATAGATAGATAGATGTAGATATGGATAAGATTAACCATATATATGGGCGATTACGTGCACATATAGATATGCAAATAACTATTTATTTAATCCGTTGTGTAGACAAAATAGTGCTCAATATAGAAAAACAGAGTTATAAAGCATATATTAATAATTACACATATACCTACGTTCACAGCTTTCCTTTTCATAAGAAACTTCAAAATCGGGGAAGCAACATAAAAAAATTTATATTTACTTTTAAGTAACTTTATCATATATATATATATATATATATATGACACTTTTGTATTTTATATATTGCATGGAAATTTTCAATTTCTCCCAGAACTCTTTCCTCAGTATATGTCCCCAAAATTCCAGATGTCTTTTTAGTTTTCTGCTGATAATTATTCTTTCTTTTCTTTCTTTACGCTCATGTAAAACCACATTTCTCTTGCTTCAAGTGTTCTCTTCCTCTGAGAGGAAATTGTTCAGTATTCACTCGTATATAGGTGGATTGATATTACGTATCTGTTCAGCACCTTTTCTTTGTTTCTAACGAATTTGTCCAGTGTCTTAGTACTTAACTTAGCTTTCGAAAGGCATCTTTTGCTTTTTTTAATACGCCTCTGGATTTTGGTCTTGTCCTCTTAATTTTCATCAGCGTTATTTTCTCGTTTCCAGATTGTTCGGGTAAAGCAGCCAATATTTTCTTCGTCTTGGACTCCTCCACCAGTATCTGGAGGTTCGATTACAACAAACAACTGGACTTCGTTGAGAAACTCGTCGAACCTTTCGATATCGGTCCAGCAGACTCCCAAGTCCACGTCGGCGCCATTACCTTCAGCAGTCATGCCCACCTGGAATTTTCCCTGGACAAATACACAAACAAAGACCAACTGAAAGAGGCAATTGCCAACATTCCCTACCGGCAAGGACAGACGAACACCGCCGAGGCTCTTGACCTGCTTCAAAATGAGATCAGACCCCGTCTGGGAAAGACAAGTTCACCTTTCATTGCCGTCATTATTACAGACGGCATGTCTAGCAACACGAAGGACACTCGAAAGGCTGCGGCTAGACTTCACAAACATGGCGTCAGTGTCTTCGCTATCGGTGTCGGCCGTCAATTTGATCTTTCCGAGTTGAAGGCCATTGCAAGCGACCCTGACAATAACGTCTATCAAGTGTCTAGCTATTCTGCACTCGAAAATATCGTGAAGGGCTTCAACGTCAAAACATGTGAAGGTAAGAAGCAAATTTGTTTATTTGTTTTGGGTTTTCAGACATTTTTTTAAAAAAAAAATACACGTTATTTGAACTTTTAATAATTTAATGTTAGACATTCTCTAGAATTCCTTGTAATGTAAAATTAAAACCTTTTCCGTTCATGATTATGGCGATAAACTACGTCCAACAGAAGGCCTCTGACCAGGAGATTTTAAACAACGTTGAACAACCTCTTAATTGCTAATGTTCCCAGGTCCACTCTGACCTGGGGTGGTAGCACCTGTTAGGCTCCCATCTATAGGCAAATAGTTGACCCCACAAAATTAGGTTCAAAATACTATGAAAGTGCAAAAATAGGTCTTACTACAAGAAATAGATTTTTTGAGGAAAATTATTACCAGCAATACATTATTTCCAGAAATAGATTTTTGAAGAAAAAAAATATTACCAGCAATTCATTTTTGGAAAAAATATTACCAGCAATAAAAATCTTGTCGGCATTAAATAACCCATTGAGGTTGATATACGGTAAAACAAATAAAACCAAACCATTCAAGATACTTTATCATAAAATATTTTTTTTAATAATAGTAAAAACACGAACCTACTTGCGTTCGAGTAATTTATACTTTTAACTCGTTTTTCTTTCTGTCGATCTTTCCAGGATAAGACATTAATATTATTTACATTTTCTCTAATATATTAATGAGCTTAAGGCCATATCATGTTGAAACATTGGTTCCTGTATGATCACCAAAGTTATGCATGTAGCAATACAATTTTTCACACATCCTTCGAAGATAAATAGACCGAATCTTTTTCCTATTAACTCAATTTAATGATCACGTTTTTACAAGAATCTTCAGCCCACCTTTGAGTAAATTTAATGACCAGAGTTTTTTAGGAATCTTGTCTTTATCTCATCTTTGAATAGTCGAAGATAAAATCTTCTTATTTATTTTTTTACATAGCCGTAAAAGTAGGGTCTTTTGAAAGACTGACCACCCAAAACATTTCTGTGTGTCTCCACCTCCCCTGTGGGTGGAACACGTGTGAACAGAAAAGGGTGTTGTGTCCTCCAGTCAGTATCCATAAAAGTAATCGGACAGTGAGAGAAGGGAGAGTCAGTGAAGTGTTTAGGCAAGTGAGTGCGTACGGGTTCTTTTTCGTGGCGGGAACTTGGTGAGAAGTCAGAAAAAGTTCGTTTTCTCGTAGCAGAAGGAAGACTTCCCGACCCAACAAGTGTTCTTGAGAAGCATTTGTCGCTACTGAGTGGTCGAAGACCTAATATTGGTTACTGAAACGAATCTGTGAAACATAGTGAGCGCCGCTATATTTGCATACAGCCGGCCTTGGATGTCATCGCAGATTTTTGACTACGACAAGCAACGTCGAGCCTGGTCAATAATTAGATGGATGACCGCTTGGGACTACCAGGTGTTGTAAGCGTGGATGTGCTCCCGTACGATCACCGTAGTTAAGCAATGTCGACCTTGGTCAGTACCTAAGTGGGTGACCGCTTGGGGATTTTTATTTACCAATCTTGAGGAAAGGTTGGAATCACAACGGCCGAGGTTTTTCTCAGAACGTATACACAAATATGGGTGCCCACTAAAAATAACGTTTAAAGTAATCTCTCTCTCTCTCTCTCTCTATATATATATATATATATATATATATATATATATATAAATTAGGTTAATACATAAAGTAGAGAATGTCTCATGTCTCATATATCTATATATATATATATATATATATATATATATAGTGTATTAGGGTAACAGATCATTATTTAAATATATATATTGTTAAATATATCAGACAATGAGCGTCTATTATGTCTGATCATGACTCATTCTAATGCTCGAATGTTTGCTTTCATTTTCGGAAGCTTAGGACCAACTTAGCAAAAAAATATCGAAATGTGGGACATTTTTGCCTTTATTTTCGACAGAAATTAAAGCAAACATTCGAACATTAGAATGGCTCATGATCTCTCTCTCTCTCTATATATATATATATATTGTGTGTGTATTTAGGCAGCATCTTTTCATTCATGCCCGTTTCATTAAATAATATAGACAAGTGTTGTCTATTTACTTTATGTACTTCGACATGAAAACAATAGACAAAAACTAAAAATCCTTGAAGCATTATACATCAAATAGTTGAAACCCAACCTAAACAAAATCAATTATGGCATCTCTACAAATATTCTTAAATGTCTATAATTGGTAACAGAAGCCATTGGTTTATACCATCGGCTTTCCATACTTCATACTTCTCCAATTCACTCTCGTGTGGTCATGTGTGACGTCATGAGATGCGGTACGATTTTCGCTTCTAGCGTCTTATATGCACGTGTTTATCGTTGCTTAGAGATCATCTATGTAAACATTGACAGACTATCATCACTGTCTTGTCCGTATATTGCTTAATATGTTGTAATTGACATCTTTGATAATGGCTTAAGTAAGCCGAAAGCTTAGATTGTATTTAAAAAAATATGGATCACTATTGTGAATTTCTTTCTTCGTTCAACGATCATGTTATTAAACTTATCAGACGTTACGAAAAAATTTTACATAAAATAAATAGACAACACTTGTCTATATTATTTAATGAAACTTGCACACACACACATATATATATATATAGATAGATAGATAGATAGATAGATAGATAGATAGATATAGATATAGAGATAGATAGATAGATAGATAGATAGATTTAGAAAATAATAAGTTTAATTTTTTGTTGTTTTTCATGAAGAGTAGCTTTGATAGCGTTATTAATATAACTTTTCGTTGTTTTCTCTTTCATAGCTATCGTGATCTCTACTTTGCCACCAACGACTACAACAACAACACCGGCTCCAACAACAACTACAACAACACCAGCCCCAACAACGACTACAACAACACCAGCCCCAACAACGACTACAACGCCACTTCCTACAACCACCACCACCACCCTTCCTCCGACTACTACAACAACCAGCACTACCACTACTACTACACCAGTACCAACAACAACAACCGTTGAAATTCCTCAGAGAGACGAAGCAAGTAAGTACAATTGTTTTATTTTTTGTTAAAAATGCTTTCAAAATGGCGCCAGCCGAATGGGAAAATCACATTTGCCTATTGTTGACGCTATTAATAATTAATTAATTAAATTATTTAATTTAGTAATTAATTAACTGAAACATTTAATTTAATAATTAATTAATTAGTTAATTTAGACGCTAATTTAATAATTAATGAATTTAAACCTTTAATTTGATAATTACAGATTTTAAATTTTTGAGATAGATAGATAGATAGATAAAGTAATTAAACGAATTTGATAGATAGATAGATATGAGCAGACTGATATATATATATATATATATATATATATATATATATATATATATATATATAATAGATAGATATGATTAGACTACGATAGATAGATAGATAGATAGATATGAGCAGACTGATATTTATATATATATATATATATATATATATATATATATGATTAGACTGAGATAGATAGATAGATAGATAGATATGAACAGACTGATACATATATATATATATATATATATATATATATATATAGATAGATAGATAGATAGATAGATAGATATGGACAGACCGATAGACATTTAAACACTATCAATTTATAACAAGTTTCCCTGAAATCATTACTTTAGGCACGATTTTTTAAACAAATTCTCTTCTTTTTTTCTCACAGGTACTGTGTCTTTTGGTTATGATCTTGTTTCTATGGGAGCCTACAGGGCACATATGATCCAACAATTTATCAACTACCTGCTCCCATACACCGGTTACGGTCATTTTGGTGTTGTCTCCTATGCTTATTGTCCAGAGAATTTCAACGTTCCGGTCACTTCCCTGATGGACAAGGAACCCTCAGACATTGGCAGCAATGTACCCAGCGGCAACACATTGCCCTCTTTAGTTGATGTCGTCCGTGAAATGAGGAAAGAACTTAATGATCGTGCCGTTCAGAATGCAAACAAAGGCCTTGTTGGGAATCAGATCGCTGTCCTGTTCGTCGACCCTTCGGCGACTGTAATTACCAATGATCTGATGAAGGAGACTGAACTGCTGAAGCAAGCCGGTTCCAAACTGTTCTTGGTTAATGTTGGACAAGGCACTTGGTATCAGCCTAGGTCTCTCTACTCAATGAGCAGTCAGCCTTATGCTAATTACATGTACAATTACCCAACATATGACCAGCTGTTGTACAGCGTCAGACACACGCCTTTCCAATTCAGATCCATGTGTAACAGATACGTGCCTACTTATTAAAAAGGACTAAATAAAAGAAATACTTTAATTAAACGATGTAAATATAAACTAAGTTGGTAAGAACATATCAAACGAAAGACATATGTTGCAGGCGACATTGTCCATAATAAAGTATTCACATTGTAATTAAGAAACATATCATTCTAGCTATTGTTACACATTCCAATTTTTTTTTTTCTTAAATTTTATTATTTGATCATTTGTATTTATTGAAATAAATATTTTTTTCTTATTCAAATACTTCTTTTCTTTTTTATTGTATTCTGTTAATGTTTCAGGTTTCTTTTTTTTTTTTTTTTTTGTTCATTTCGTCGAAATTGGTCTTTTTTTTTAAATCGAAATTACCCAAGCAAGACAATAAAGCCACTAAGACACAAAGCGTTACTGGCCATGAAAGAATTAGAAAACAAAAACATTATGAAGTAGCGAGAACTAAAAAAGAGTAACCAGTCAGACAGGGGATAAAGATTGTTGATTCCAGTCTACCAAGGAATGATTGCAAAATACTTACCTCCCCACCATTTTATAAACAGAAACACACAAATGCATGCTGGGATTTTTTCCTAGCCAATGAAACAGACCAGTACTCGGTTTCATCTGACTCTGTCCCGGTCTGTCTTGCCTTAAACTCAAAACGCTACGTTCATTTGTTCGAACTTGTGTGTGTTAACGTCAATTCTTAGTTTGTGGAATTTATGCCTTATTACTGTTACTTTGCCTTATTACTGCTACTTTGCATTATTTCTATTAATTTACCTTGTATATATTGTTTGCTTCATTCATATTATTTTTTCCCGCTTTTTTCCTTTTTCTTGATACTGCTCTTTGCAAACTTTCTTTCTTAGACATTTCTGTTTCTTATTTTTGCATTGGACGATGCTACTCACTCCACAAAGATGACGACAAAGAACAATGTTGTCTATAAGACAGTGGTCACTGCCCGCGAAAAGCACAGAGTAATCGAGAGTAAGGAGAAGATCGAAAGGGAAGACGCCCGCTAGACAATTCATCTCACTCCTCATTTACGCTACATCTCCGCCTCGCTCGTCTAGAGCAGTAGGTTACAACTCGGGAATAAAATCTACTTACGGCAGAAAAAGTGATTTTAATTCGTGGGCATCGATCTGACATAAGTTTTTATCTAGAATAAACTGCGCCCTAAGAATGATCCTTGTGTCTAATCTGAGCTGCAATGCTACAATAGCATATGTAACTAGATGGGAAAATAACAATATAATCAAAATGTTGACAGTCCACAGTAATTTAAACAAAAGGTTAGGAAGGAAATTCCTCTAAATACTAGAAAGAGTTATAACAGTTATATTGGGGAAATGACTGACATCCTTTGAGGCATTATTCTGCACTTAATGTCTACAAGGTCAACTTCCAAGTCAAAATATTGATTCGAATTTTGACACTGGTTTTCTTTAAAAATTTTGGCAGTAAATGCTGGACAATCTCCTCAAAGATGAAGAAGAGACTTGAAGCAACAAGAACAAAAAAACGTGTACTGAACTGTTACGTGATATCTGTCCTCCTATATGGCAGTGAATGCTGGACAATCTCCTCAAAGATGAAGAAGAGACTTGAAGCAAGAGAAACAAAGAAAATAGTACTGAACTGTTACGTGATATCTGTCCTCCTATATGGCAGTGAATGCTGGACAATCTCCTCAAAGATGAAGAAGAGACTTGAAGCAAGAGAAACAAAGAAAAGAGTACTGAACTGTTACGTGATATCTGTCCTCCTATATGGCAGTGAATGCTGGACAATCTCCTCAAATATGAAGAAGAGACTTGACGCAATAGAAACAAAGAAAAGAGTACTGAACTTTTACGTGATATCTGTCCTCCTATATGGCAGTGAATGCTGGACAATCTCCTCAAATATGAAGAAGAGACTTGACGCAAGAGAAACAAAGAAAAGAGTACTGAACTTTTACGTGATATCTGTCCTCCTATATGGCAAGTGAATGCTGGACAATCTCCCCAAAGATGAAGAAGAGACTTGAAGCAAGAGAAACAAAAGAAAAGAGTACTGAACTGTTACGTGATATCTGTCCTCCTATATGGAAGTGAATGCTGGATAATCTCCCCAAAGATGAAGAAGAGACTAGAAGCAAGAGAAACAAAGAAAAGAGTACTGAACTGTTACGTGATATCAGTCCTCCTATATGGCAGTGAATGCTGGACAATCTCCTCAAAGATGAAGAAGAGACTTGAAGCAAGAGAAACAAAGAAAAGAGTACTGAACTGTTACGTGATATCTGTCCTCCTATATGGCAGTGAATGCTGGACAATCTCCTCAAAGATGAAGAAGAGACTTGAAGCAATAGAAACAAAGAAAAAGAGTACTGAACTGTTACGTGATATCTGTCCTCCTATATGGCAGTGAATGCTGGACAATCTCCCCAAAGATGAAGAAGAGACTTGACGCAAGAGAAAGAAAGAAAAGAGTACTGAACTGTTACGTGATATCTGTCCTCCTATATGGCAGTGAATGCTGGACAATCTGCTCAAAGATGAAGAAGAGACTTGAAGCAAGAGAAAGAAAGAAAAGTGTATTGAACTGTTACGTGATATCTGTCCTCCTATATGGCAGTGAATGCTGGACAATCTGCACAAAGATGAAGAAGAGACTTGAAGCAACAGAAACAAAGAAAAGAGTACTGAACTGTTACGTGATATCTGTCCTCCTATATGGCAGTGAATGCTGGACAATCTCCTCAAAGATGAAGAAGAGACTAGAAGCAACAGAAACAAAGAAAAGAGTACTGAACTGTTACGTGATATCTGTCCTCCTATATGGCAGTGAATGCTGGACAATCTCCTCAAAGATGAAGAAGAGACTTGACGCAAGAGAAACAAAGAAATGTGTACTGGACTGTTACGTGATATCTGTCCTCCTATATGGCAGTGAATGCTGGACAATCTACCCAAATATGAAGAAGAGACTTGAAGCAAGAGAAACAAAGAAAAGAGTACTGGACTGTTACGTGATATCTGTCCTCCTATATGGCAGTGAATGCTGGACAATCTCCTCAAAGATGAAGAAGAGACTTGAAGCAAGAGAAACAAAGAAAATAGTACTGAACTGTTACGTGATATCTGTCCTCCTATATGGCAGTGAATACTGGATAATCTCCCCAAAGATGAAGAAGAGACTAGAAGCAAGAGAAACAAAGAAAAGAGTACTGAACTGTTACGTGATATCTGTCCTCCTATATGGTAGTGAATGCTGGACAATCTCCCCAAAGATGAAGAAGAGACTTGAAGCAAGAGAAACAAAGAAAAAAAGTACTGAACTGTTACGTGATATCAGTCCTCCTATATGGCAGTGAATGCTGGACAATCTCCTCAAAGATGAAGAAGAGACTTGAAGCAAGAGAAACAAAGAAAAATAGTGACTGAACTGTTACGTGATATCTGTCCTCCTATATGGCAGTGAATGCTGGACAATCTCCCCAAAGATGAAGAAGAGACTTGAAGCAATAGAAACAAAGAAAAAGTACTGAACTGTTACGTGATATCTGTCCTCCTATATGGCAGTGAATGCTGGACAATCTCCCCAAAGATGAAGAAGAGACTTGAAGCAAGAGAAACAAAGAAAAGAGTACTGAACTGTTACGTGATATCAGTCCTCCTATATGGCAGTGAATGCTGGACAATCTCCTCAAAGATGAAGAAGAGACTTGAAGCAAGAGAAACAAAGAAAAGAGTACTGAACTGTTACGTGATATCTGTCCTCCTATATGGCAGTGAATGCTGGACAATCTCCTCAAAGATGAAGAAGAGACTTGAAGCAATAGAAACAAAGAAAAGAGTACTGAACTGTTACGTGATATCTGTCCTCCTATATGGCAGTGAATGCTGGACAATCTCCTCAAAGATGAAGAAGAGACTTGACGCAAGAGAAACAAAGAAAAGAGTACTGAACTTTTACGTGATATCTGTCCTCCTATATGGCAGTGAATGCTGGACAATCTGCTCAAAGATGAAGAAGAGACTTGAAGCAAGAGAAACAAAGAAATGTGTACTGAACTGTTACGTGATATCTGTCCTCCTATATGGCAGTGAATGCTGGACAATCTCCCCAAAGATGAAGAAGAGACTTGAAGCAAGAGAAACAAAGAAAAGAGTATTGAACTGTTACGTGATATCTGTCCTCCTATATGGCAGTGAATGCTGGATAATCTCCCCAAAGATGAAGAAGAGACTTGAAGCAAGAGAAACAAAGAAAAGAGTACTGAACTGTTACGTGATATCTGTCCTCCTATATGGCAGTGAATGCTGGAAAATCTCCCCAAAGATGAAGAAGAGACTTGAAGCAAGAGAAACAAAGAAAAGAGTACTGAACTGTTACGTGATATCTGTCCTCCTATATGGCAGTGAATGCTGGATAATCTCCCCAAAGATGAAGAAGAGACTTGAAGCAAGAGAAACAAAGAAAAGAGTACTGAACTGTTACGTGATATCTGTCCTCCTATATGGCAGTGAATGCTGGACAATCTCCCCAAAGATGAAGAAGAGACTTGAAGCAAGAGAAACAAAGAAAAGAGTATTGAACTGTTACGTGATATCTGTCCTCTTATATGGCAGTGAATGCTGGATAATCTCCCCAAAGATGAAGAAGAGACTTGAAGCAAGAGAAACAAAGAAA